GAATTCATCGAGCGCAGAAAGAACAATAGCGACGAGTACACGACGGCGGACTTTTCCATAATTATACGGTGGTTAAACCATGATTGCCACGTACCGGTCCAAGGTATACACCGTCAGCGAGCTGCCTCAGCTCGGTATGCCGATCGTTTTTCGCAACAGTAGAAAAGAATAGGCGTTCTTCTGCGTATAGGCGTGCTATTACACTACGGAAGGTATTATACATGGGAGGTCTATTTTCAGCAGCAGGACTGAGCGATCTTTTCTTCCCGGGGTAATTGGTAATTGGCCTAAGCGTTCTTCCTCGCTTCTGCATCTTCCCGCGCGATAGAACTCGCGAATCTGAGATTGAATTCGAATTGACAATTCGATAATTTTTCATAGATCACTTCTATCTACAAGATGATAAAAATATTTGAACGATAGTTTCTTCTTCTTTTTTTTTTTGAATGAAACCAAGGAACGATTATTTTTCTTTTCGCCCACTGTACTTACAATACTAATTTTTGAATTCTTACGTTCAGTGTCGAATTTAGTGTTATTTTTAAAATAAAAATTTCCAAGCTCAATTTTCAAATAAAACATTTTTAAATACTTGTCAAATTGAATATTAAATCATTCAAAAATCTACAATTGATGATAGAATTATTGTTCGATCCATTCAGGATCAAGCAAGGATTCATCACGGTACTACAGTTTCTTGAAATTTCAGAAAATTACAGAATCCATCCAAAGGACAGTAACAAAAAGATTAACATTAAACTTTCACAGTCTCGTTGATAAAGCCTCAAAAATAATTTGACAACGTAAATTGTTCCCGAAAAATGAAACGTTCGTTCGTCGTGTTAAGGATTATCCGTTCATCCGCAGAACGAATGAAACGGCGCGGGATTCCACAATTCGAGCATGACCAGCAGAGTCACTTGTTTGGTCATACGTGGCAACTTGCATAATTCGCTCGCGTGATCCCGGTCGGGGAAATATTTAAGAAGCTCTCTCGTTAAGCAGCGTTCCGTGTTTCGTGCACGTTTCGAACAGAATTGCAAACGAACGTAATTGGCTGCCTTTGAGATTCTTGCGAAGAATCGCGGAAATCGTTCGAGACTCCATCCGTCGATAGATAACGAGAATAGCGTTAAAGATAAGATCGCCTTGTCGAGATGATCTTATTCGTTTGGCAACGAACAGAAAAATTTGTTTTCCGCCATGTTTCGTATTTTTCTCGTAGTATTTCGACGAACTATCTCGATGAAATTCCTCCGTGGAGATTATCAACAGTGGTGGGAACAGACGATGAGAAATTGAACGCATACATCGTGCGGATTATTCCTCTGGCGTAATTGGAAATTCTTGCGCGTATGCCCAACTTTGATAGAACGTGCGTTCGTTAACTCGTTGATAACCATTCGAGGATATTTTCCGTGTTATTAATGACGTGCACAACTGAATAACTGCAGTCTGAGCTGAAATATTTCGTTTAGTTTTCATTTTTTCTATTTTTACTTTTTTCGATTATTTTATTTTATTATTTTTATTTTTCTCGATTATTTTATTGTATTATTTTTATTTTTCTCGATTATTTTATTCTATTATTTTTATTTTATATTATTTTATTTTATTATTTCTGTTTTATATTATTTTATTTTATTATTTTTGTTTTATATTATTTTAATCTATTATTTTTATTTTTATAATTTTATTCTATTATTTTTATTTTTATAATTTTATTTTATTATTTCTGTTTTATATTATTTTATTTTATTATTTTTGTTTTACATTATTTTACTCTATTATTTTTATTTTTATAATTTTATTCTATTATTTTTATTTTTATAATTTTATTTTATTATTTCTGTTTTATATTATTTTATTTTATTATTTTTGTTTTACATTATTTTACTCTATTATTTTTATTTTTATAATTTTATTCTATTATTTTTATTTTTATAATTTTATTTTATTATTTCTGTTTTATATTATTTTATTCTATTATTTTTATTTTATATTATTTTATTTTATTATTTCTGTTTTATATTATTTTATTTTATTATTTCTGTTTTATATTATTTTATTCTATTATTTTTATTTTATATAATTTTATTCTATTATTTATATTTTATATAATTTTATTTTATTATTTCTGTTTCATATTATTTTATTCTATTAATTTTCATTTTATATTATTTTATTTTATTCTTTTCACGAGTAACTCTCTTCACGTGTAATGATTATCATTGTTTTGTATCCAATCAATCATTTCAAAAATTTTGAAAAGCAAATCCCATTTTCGTTGTGTTTGATGTGCAAGCAGGCAACAAACAACTAACTATTCACGACTAATAATGAACATTTATTCATTTGCAATCTGCTCTATAGATTAAGATGTTGCTCACTTCGTTACAATCGAAAGGATAATTCTCTTAGCATTAATCTTCTTTGTCTCTGCGAAACCACCGGCGACGACGATTGATGTGTTATCGCGTCTCATGTATTACACGTACTTAGTATTGACGTGTATCACCGCCACTCTGATCACGTTCCAATACGTTCGTTTGGCGGACGTACAATACGTATGGCTATGTCTCTCTACAGGCTGCCATGGGACACGAGGTTGTAACCAGTCTGGTATGTGGTACGCTTTCACCGTTTGCAATATTCATACATCCACGCATTGTTATTACATGCTACGCGCGCTGCAGAATGCCGGCGTGCATGTTGCACGAGCCCCGAGTGATAAAACCACCGATCGATGATGACTTTTTTCGAAATCCAATCGCCACCGCTGCCATCGGCATTCAACCGTAAAAGCATGCCCAACTTCTCGATTAAGCGCCGATGTTCTTCGCCAGAGAACGGATTTAAATCGTTGAAAACGATTCAGACGGATGTTCGGATTTCACAGTTTCTCGTGTCACCAGAATTTGTCGGATTTATTATCCCTTCATATCTACTGATAATGAGGAGCATTTTCTTGCATTTGAAATGCGTGGGAAATTTGAAGGTGTAAAAATGTAGGAAATATATGCTATATAGTATATATAAATATTAATATTAATATATAGTATATATTAAGTATATAGTATATATTAAATATTAATATTATTGTTAAATATATATAGTACATAGTGTATAATATATATATTAAATATTAAAACAATATACATTAATATAAATTAATATAAATATTAAAATATTAAAATATTTATACTATATTAAAATTAATATAGTATAAATATTAAATATTATTAAATATATATACTATATATATTATTAATACTATACTTATATATACTATATTATTATATATTATTAATATACTATATATATTACTAAATATATATAGTATATAGTGTATAGTATATGTATTAAATATTAATATAAATATTAAAATATTGAAATATTTATACTATATTAAAATTAATATATAGTATAAATATTAAATATTATTAAATATATATAGTATATAGTGTATAGTATATATGCTAAATATTTATATTATTATTAAATATATATAGTATATAGTATATATTATATATTAAATATTAAAATTATATATGAAATATTAATGTGGCTCTAATTTTGTAATTTCTATCTTTAAAATAAGGAGCTGTTGAAAATAAAAAAATCTGCTTTGCACATATGTACGCGTGTTACACGAAACATGGAATCGCAAAAATTTTTGCAAGAGGGAATTTTTATTTTATTTTATTATAATTCAGGTTGTGAAATAGATCGAAGATTTCTGCCAGCCATCGTGTAATTAACGTTTCAATTTTAATATTAATGTAACATTTAGTAGACGAGACACGTTTCGTTTAATCACGCTCGTAAGAATATTAAAAAAAAAAAAAAAGAGATTCGCAAAAATTCGCCGTTTAGTAACAGGCAGACCTACATGTGTAACATTTGCGAGAAGTTTAGAAACACTTTGAATATTTTAGATACTACTGTAAATAGTTTCAACATTTCACTTAAACCTGTTAAAAAAATTCTAAGACTCTAAGATTGAATTATTACATCCGTTCCACGTCGTTTCCTTTCTCTCTTTCTTTCTTTCTTTCCTCCGGATCTAGATACGGTGTGATGTCGATGTAATTCACCACGATGTGGACAAGTCCACCTTGAAACGAAATCATTTTGTGCACAATCGCCTGTGTAAATTCGTAATTACACAAAGTGGCCGATGTCGGACAAGGGTTGTCGTGTGCGATACAATCTCATTACGCGTGCTGTATTACCAGTCACGTGCGTTACGACGTCTCCCGGGGGAGCGAGGCCTTTCCATTTTGTTAGCCGACGTGCAAGCGTTGACTGCTCGCACGGCAGATTCTCTCGATCGATAGTTGTGTTCCTTCGTCCATCGATAATCACTGTTATTCGCAGATTTTATTCATTCAGATCGTATATACGTACATCGTACATCAAACTGTATACAGCGGTTGAAGGAAGGCATTTGCTCTAACAGGCCTGAATGCTTTGAATGAATTAAATTGGTATACTGTCGCTTAACAGCGCTTTTACATGATTATACACGATTTGACATTGTGAAAATGATAACGTGAAAGCGTAGTTAATTCCTCCCGGAATGAGGATATGATTTGAATATTTGAATTTTTATATCTATGCTTCAAAGTAGAAATTTGAGGAAATTTTGCAGAGTTCCTATGCATGTTTGAAAGACTTATGGACCACAGAATCCTTCTAAATTCAACAGGACCACAATTTAACGCCGGAACTATCAAAATAATCGAAATGATCGATTTATGATTTTTCCTGGATGTCATACAGATGTAAAAACAGTGTATTTTTTAGAGATATATTAAATGTATTCTTAACTTTTTAAATTTCTCTTCACCTTTTAAAATTTTCACGTTTTAAGGGCCACCTTAGCGTATAATGCCAGATCAACGATCCTCGATGCATCAATCTCTCTTTCTCTCTGTCCTTTGTTTATCTCTCATTCTTCAAATCTAATCACTCTTCGTGTTGGTTCCTGATTTCAGGTGAAGTCGAGAGTGAAGGAGGTATACGACCAAACATGCGTGCTTCTCAGCCAGCAGGGCATGCGAGACTGCGAACTGTTCGGCCTGGCAATACTGTGCGGTGAGTAGAACGGGCCACGAACCCTTTCTTCCTCTTCTCTTCTACCTTCTGTTCATATTCTGGCGCTCTCGTTTCCGTTGTTCCGTCGTTTAACAGACAAAATGCGGTCAGACGGGCCCGGTGAGCATCGTGAATGACTTGCGTGGTAGCTGTATCCGCCTCGAATTACGGCGCACCTCCTTTTCAACCTCCTTCGGAGTAGATCGAATTACCGAAGCTCACGCGAGTCATTAGGTGTTGCGTTTCGCGAGAACGCGGACCGTTTTCCCGAATCACGATCCAACGATCGAAGCTACATCCACCACCCCCGTGATCGTCGTTAACCGCTTGCGCTGGCAACTGATTGCGGACCGTAACTCGTCGCTTTCCTTTTGAACTCGTCGGTATTATGTGACGTCGCTGGATAGAAATTATTGCGAAGTAATAAATTTATTATCTGTTATACTTAAGTACTGTTTATTAAGTATTAAGTTGTAACTTAATAAATTTATTATTAAGGTTGTGCTTAAGTATACTTGAAACTGAAAAAATATTGCAATTTTACAAAATATATATATATATATAATTAATATTGTAATTAAATATGTATTATTATATATAAATATAATTTATATATATATATTAATATTATAATATAATAATAAATTAAATATAATTAGTATAATATATATAATTTATAATATATAATATATATTAATATTATATATAGAAGTCTAATAATTATATATATTTAATAAATTATATATATATTATATTATACTAATATATAAATATAGTTAATATTGTAATTAAATATATATTAATATTATAATATAATGTATATAAATATAATTAATATTGTAATTAAATATATATTAAATTGATATAATATATATATAAATAAATATAATATAATTAAATATATATTGATAATAATAATAATTAAATATATATTGTAATATATATTAATAATAATTAAATATATATTATAATTAATATTGCAATGGGAAACAAAATTCTCGAAGTGACACGTCATTCCAGCGCAAGGGGTTGAACTCTACCATTTGCTTAACCCTTTATGTACACTGGCACTGGCTCTGATTATCAGAATAAACGAATATGTGCGTCTCGAAAGTCAAACTGATCCACTTTCTGATCAATTTCACATTATTATTCAAACGTGTAATTAACATTCAATGCTCGAAGGAAGAAACATTATTTTCACAAATTTCTCAATTTTCTCGGCAAGAAATATTCGCGATAATGTATTATGCATTGTACACGTCGTGCTGCAATTTAACTTCCTGCGAAGTCAGGAAACGCTGTATTTACGTTCGTGGCGGGGAAAAAACAGAGTTTTCATTTTAATATGCGCGTATTATTTTTCGTCTACCTCTACCGCGCCGCGATGGAATCGAAGAGTCCAATTGAGCCCGAAAAATGAAAGGATACGGCGCGGATCAGGATACTTTCACTAGTCGTTCGATCGGATCTCTCCGCGGTGCCAGCGACATTCTATCCACCGAGAATCCAAAAGGCTGTCCCGACCGAGATCCACTCGGCTGAGGAGAGAAAGTGTGCTAGACACGGCGTCGCTCTTTCTGCTAGTTATCTAGCGTACTGGACGAAAATTAAGAAGAAGAAGAGTTTTCTTTAGGATCGTGGGTAGCAACGAAATTAAGAAGAAGAAAAAGAGTTTTCTTTAGCATCGTGGGTAGCAGCAGGATATTTCGAAGCGTCTAGACTATTGTACAATTCGTACAAAAGTGCAACACGTGTTAGTCGTTTCCAAGAACGTTTGAATCGTTAATTAGAGAATTCTCGTTTCAACTAAAATAGAACTTTTTAAGTTTTAGAAGTGTCCATTGATTCAAGCCAGACTTCATAATTTTAAAATGTAGGTTAAGATTGATACGTGTAAAAATATCTTCACGCATGAATGGTCGTTTTTTTTCTATTCTGGAATCATATCAATCCAAATACCAAATGTTAAACCATTTCATTTTCGCACAAGAATTTCTTACTTGCAAATTCCTCAAAAACCTCAGTTCTTTTTAACATTTTCTCGGTGAGAGGTTTAAACTGGCGAGTACGTGTAAAACAACGTGTATTATTATTTATTAGAACTCATTATGGAAGTTTTATAAATAATCGTACGATCTTATTACACTATATAACGATCGAACCCGTCAGTATGACTGATCTCACAGCTCCTGTTTTTTACAACTGTTCAAAAGACACAGACATTCATAGTCGAAATTAATTTCTGTTTGAACAGGAACAATAACTGTGTGAGTCTGTCTGTTTTAACAATCAGTTAAATTACGTGAATGTAGAATATTTTGATACGGTCGTTCTAATGTCGATAGACACTAATAAATTCTCATTTACTCCTTCTATTAATATCTTTATTAATAAGTTAACCGATTAATAAGTTAACCGATTAATAAGTTAACCGATCAAAGCCAAGTACGCGTATGACGCTCGCCCGCAAAAAAGTGTTGAGAAGAGGGATCCTCTTACGAATTTTTGGGCGGATAGAGAATAGCAGGACTTAATGCCAAGAGAGGCAAAGAGAGTCCTCCAGCCGGGTAGTCCGTTGACTAATCTTGAGATCTTTCTGCATAGCCGTGGTCTTCTTGCTCTCCCTCGTCCTCTGCCTCGATCCCTCTGTGTTCCGTCCCTTCCCTCCACCGAATATACTCAGCTCTGTCGTTACCCTCTCGCTCTATACTCTCTTGCCTTTCCACCAGTCATGACAAGCCGGTCCGACTGGTACCCCCTCCATCACCGGCCCCGGACCCTTCTTGGGCCTCGCAAGGGCCCTGCGGGACCCCTCCCTCCTACATTCCAACGGGGCCCCATCACGGCGAGCCTGAGCCTGCTGGCGGGTTTTGAGGCGCGCGAGCCATGCCACGACAGGAAAAAAATGCATCTGAAAAACCAAAACAAGTAGAAAAAGGTGGCTCACACCCCTGCATGCGTGCGTCGGTTTGCGTGAACGTTAGCCAGGCCCGGTACCGAGGACCCTCTTTTCCCCTTCTTTCTCTTTCCTTACCGTCTCTCCCCGATCTTTTGCCTCTCCTCGTCTGCTCCACGAAGTCTCCGTACGCTTCTCCTCTCGTCTCTTTTACTCTTCCTGCGTCCTACGTGCGCGTACGTGCTGCTGCCCGCTGCACCGTTCTTTTTTTCTTTCTCTTCTCTCCTTTTTTTCTTTTTTTTCTTGTTTTTTTTTTTTTTTTTTTTTTTTTGATTTCGTTTAATTCT